GCTCCCTAACCCTAAAACTAACCCTAACCCTAACCCTAAACTTAACCCTAAACCCTAAACCTTACTTTAACGCTAAACCTCCCTCGCCCTTCTGGCCACACTCCTCCTAATGCATCCCAGGATCCCATTGGCCTTCTTGGCAGCCAGGGCACGCTGCTGGCTCGTGGTTAACCTGTCATCCCCCAGCACTCCCAGTCCCTCTCTGCAGAGCTGCTCTCCAGCAGGGCCGCCCCAGCCCGTACTGGTTCCTGGGGTTGTTCCTCCATGGCTGCCTCAGAGCAAGGGGCCAGGGCCGGGCAGGCTCTGGGGACACTGAGTGCTCCAAAACAACGTGGCCTTGCTGCAGGGAGGCAGCTGGTCTGGCAGAGACCGCTGGCCTGGCCACCGAGCGCGGGGGCTTCCCTGTGCCGAGTGTGGCTGTCACACACATGGCAAGCAGGCGCTGGCAAAACCACGGCACACTGAGCACCGCTTCGTGCACTTAACACAAGAAATACCGTTCCAAGGGAGTTTGGGCAGAGCTGTCCTGCTCGCGGGGCAGCGGAGACGCCGAGGACGCGTTCAGATCCTGGCGAGAGGCCGTCTGCGCCACGGGTTCGTTTCCATCATGAAAGCACTACACTACGGCCACCACAATCGGGCCTACGGGGAGGGACAGCATGTCCTGGCTTTTTAATTTTAAATCCTTCCATCCACAGCACCAGTTCTAACCCAGCCTCAAATCTCTGCGCCCGGTAGTCACCAGGATCTTGGTTTTTCTCAGCACTCGGCGGTTCGCTCCGTCCTTGCACGGTTCCAGCCCTTCGCCACTCGTTTTGACTAAAACCCCCTCGAGCTCAGCACCAACCTCAAAGCGCAGAAGCTAAAGAAAAGCCAAGCCACGGTCTCCCTGCGTCCCCGCGAGCCTCACGGTGATGGGAACCTCCTCCAGTGTGGATGGAGACAGGACTGACTTGATTTCCCCCATTTTGGCCCCAGTTCAGCAGCGCTTACTTAAGCACATGCTTCGCTTGGGCGGAAGAGCTGTGCTAAACCAGAGCGGGAGCCAGAGGCACTCGGCTGCAGGGAGCACAGCTGAGTTCTGCTCATTATATTTCCTATTTTTTTTTCCCATGGTTGTTTAGTTTAAAAAGGCACATGGGGTGCTAGGAGCAGGAACTGGGACTCGGGTCTTTTAATAATAGGAAATACCCCCTCGAGGCAGCTCTCTGCTCAGCCCGTGATGGCTGGAGACATTTGTGAGTTGCGTCTTCTCCGAGGTCCCACTCACGCTCCTTGTTCTCATCCCAACTCCATTTTATTTTCTTACTTGAATTCAGCTGCTCTCCCTTTTCCTTTCCAGGCAGCTCCAAGCAGTTTGGCTCACGAGACAATCGCTCGCTGGTCTTAAGTGCTGGAAATGGGTATTATGAGAGGCCGAAGTTTCCTGAAGGGAAAAGGGCCTGTTGCCCTAAGTGCTAATGGAAAGGCAGGTTTTCTGAGGACATCTCTGAAACAGCCACCGCGCTGCTAAACGCACTTCAGTCCCCACCCACGCAGAGAGCGGAGATCTGGTACCCTCTGCTCCCACACGTCGCAGCTCCCCGTGGAGGGAACACGGTGACGCGGGATCCCTGATCTCATCGCAGCAGGCGAGGAAATCAGAGACCGCAGCCGGTAAGTCCGACCAGTTCCGACCGCGGGGCTCCCTCTCTCCGTCTTGCTGCCCTTGCAGTCTTGCAAATTTATTGAAAGGCAAAATACTCTTTAAGGCCATTTGGGCCCCTGCGTGGTTTCATCACTGGGGCAGCACCGCCTTTATTCTCTCTCAAGAAATTCAGTTTAAGCAAATTGTAAAATAGCACAAGATCCAGCGCTGGGAGACGTCTCTAGCAGCGCTGGTAAAACAGGGCGACACGCATCTCTGCGAGCAGCAGGAGCAGTTTCAGCTGCTCTTGTCCTCCCTCCTGCCCCTTCGCCCCTCTGATGGGTACAGAGGCAGTGGAAAGGACCTGAGCGCAGCTCTGAGCCCAGCTCCCAGGAGCACGGACCCGACCTGAAGCCAACATCTCAACTCCCCGGGGCCACAAGCCCCCAGGCACCCACGCAGCCGGGCTGCTCACGGTGACACCGACAGCTACAGCCGCTCAGCTGATGGGTGGCAGCACGCGACAGCCCGACACCGCGACCCGTTCGTTTTTCTTGTGAACAAATGGCTTCTGGGTGCACTTCTAAAGAGCATCGACTCAGGCTGGCTCCATTTCATCACCCTCTGAATTCTTACCATAACCTCTCTGCTCTAAATTCAAGCTGATTTATGTACCCCTTCCAGTTTCCACTCCCTGTATTAGACATGGCAGACAGCTTC